GCTGTGTGCGGACAGCGCGGCCACGGCCGGCCCTTGCCGGCCGTCCGGCAACAACTCATGAATCTTCTGATCTCAAATGACATAACATGAACATATGAACTGATTTAAACTGAAAAACATGAATTTTTGCCCAATAAACGAAACTTGGCCGCGGCGGACGCACCGTGTGCCGCCGACGGCGTTAAGCCGCTTTCAAGACCGAACCTCAATTTTTCTCGGCAAATCATAATTTACTGAACATGATCAATGATTATTGAATTAAATCACATAAAGTGCTTGGGGAAAATGAACTTAACATACTTGACACTCGTGTACGGCCCGTGGTGCGCTACGTGCGCAACCACATCACCTTGGCCGAAAACACCGAATTACATGAATAATTCACCGAACACTTAAGCTTATCTGAACATGATGTTACATATTAAGGCTAAACATACAAAGATTGTTCGGAGAATTTCAACTTTGAACCTGACATAACTAGGCACGGCTTCTCGCACGACCTTAACAACAAATAACACGCATGAACGCCTAAACAGAAAACTGAACTTAATAAACGTGATAATCTCAGCCTACAACCGCCGGGAATTTACCTCCGATTAAGCTCGAGTGACAACACTCCTCGGATTCCCGGGCTTGGCCGTGACCTTCCGCTTGCGTGCGTGCTGTGTGCGTGTTCTCGGATTGCCGTGTGTGTGTGCTGCTACGAGTGCGGTAGTGCTAACTAGCTTGCGGTAGCCTCCTCTCCAATTTACTCTAACTCTCTCTCACTCTGCTATGTATATACTAGGTGCTGAAGATGGAGTTTATGTATGCAGAACTTAAGTATATGTATAACATATGGGAAACTTAGCTATATATGAAGAAATATGGGAAAAATTCCCAAACACTTCTCCTTAAATACCCACGGCACCGAGAGGGAACAAATATGCGACCTTGGTGGCCAACTCCCCTTAATGACACTTGGTGCAAGCTTAAGCATACTTAGGTGACTAAGCACCCCATTAACTTAGGAAATGCCA